TTCATTTCGGGTTTAGTTTTGTTTTGATACGTGAACAAAATAGACGAAACAAGAAAACGCATATTGTTAATAATGACATGGCATATTATTTTTAACAATATTTTTCCTATATCGTTTTGTTGCATTTCTGATATTTCATCAGTCATCCTTCAGAATCCTACAAATTTCCTTCCAATCCTGTTGTTTCTTCTCTCTATTTTTAAATTCTCAGTGGTTTTATCACATAACACTGGTCGCTGTTCAACAAATGTAATTAGCAACTTATTATCTATTTCAATAACCATTATTTCGATATGCTAAATAATTTCTTCTGTCTAACTGCACAATTCAGAGAGAAAAATGATTCTGAATACAATATTTGCCGTGTGAACACACGGAATGTGTGCATACTTCTATACACTTGCTTGTCTCACTGTTGCCGTACACGGCTCGGGCACCGTGCCGTTGCAGTCCCCATACTGTGCTGCGACGGCAGCCGTGTACGGCTCCGGTAGCAAACCGTATTGTGTGAAAGTTTGCATATAAAACAATGTATTATTATTATACACGGCACCGTTGCCGTACACGGTCACGGTAAAAAACCGTATGTTAGAAAGAAGCGTAAAACACCACTTGTACCCAAATAGGAAGTACCCAACTGGCACATATTCGTCTACTGCTCTTTGCGCGTGTTTAATTTATATACATACATAAATAATTTCTCAGGGATTTTTATCATATGTGAAAAATATTGTTTATTTTAAAAAGTTACAGGTTCTTAGCAAGAAGTTGTGGACTGCAGTAGATTTACAAGGTGTTTTACATCGATAGATGAAGAGATAATGCCTCTGCGCATGCATCTTCAATCACAAATTCATACAGCGTTGTCAAGTTTAATAAAATTATGTATACATAGCAAAATAATAAAATTTAACATATAAAAATAAAAGTTTATGGTTACATTAAATTCAAAGCCGCTAAGAACGGTATTAGTGCAGGTCTACATGCCTACATCATCTTACAGTGATGAAGACGTAGAAGCAGTTTATGCAGATATAGAAGACGGGTTAAGTTTAGTGAAAGGACAGGAAAACTTAGTAGTTCTAGGAGATTTCAACGCAGTAATAGGTGAATGTGGTGCAATAGCAGGTTCTTTTGGATTAGGCAACATAGGGGAGATAGGCTGATAGAATTTTGCGATAAACATAACTTAACCGTCACGAATATTTTATTCAACCATCACGTTAGGAGGCGCTATACGTGGAAGATGCCCGGTGATTTAGGGAGATATTAGTTAGATTACATACTTGTTATGCAAAGATTTAAATATCAAGTAAGGGACTGTAGGAGTTATCCAGGAGCAGATATAGATAGCGATCATAACGTAGTAGTTATGAAGACCAATCTTAAATTGAAAATTCTGAAAAAGAGGAAAGGTAGGAGACGTCTCGACTTAGAAAAGCCAAAATATAACGAAACGCGTGATAGGCTAGATAAAAGGACAGACGAAATACTTAAGGCGGCAGAAGAAACGAATGACGGGGACATAGAGACAGAATGGAACTGCATTAAAACGTGCCTAAAGTTAGCAGCTACAGATATACTAGGTCTTAAACAAAACGAAAGTAAGAAGCAAGAGGTAGGATACAGTAGTAATAATATAAGAAACGAGGCAGGGGTCATTTTGATAGGAAACGAGGAAAAGGCAGATAGGTGGGAAGAATGTATAGAGAACCTTTACGCAGGCCCTGAGTTAGGATATATATTAGAGAAGGAAGATAGTGTGGAGATAGATGAGCTTGGTTATCCCATAATGAGAGAAGAGTTCGATGTAGCATTAAAAAAATTTAAAGAATAATAAGGCGCCAGGTGTAGATAGGTTACAAGGAGAAATTCTAAAACTTGCAGGAAAAGAGGTTAGAGATCGTATGTTTAAGCTGGTTAGCCACATTTACGAGACTGGGATTATAAACGGAACGTAGTAGTAACATTACCTAAAAAGTGGGGCGCGGATAGGTGCGAGACATTTAGAACAATTAGCTTAACTTCCCATGCGTCAAAAACCTTAACTAGAATTGTACAGAGGAGGATGGAAAAAAGGGCGGAAGAACTATTAGGGGAAAATCAATTTGGGTTTAGAAGAAATAGAGGAACGCGGGAGGCCATTCTAGCTTTACGGGTAGCAATAGAGAAAACGATAGAAAAAGGAAAGAGTGCGTACATAGGATTTGTAGATTTAGAGAAAGCTTTTGACAATGTTAAATGGGACAAGATGTTAAATATACTTAAAAATGTAGGGATGAATTACAAAGATAGAAGAGTGATACTTAGTTTGTATAAAGAGCAACAGGCAGTTATAGAGCTGGGGATGCAACGTAGAGAAGTAAATATTAGGAAGGGAGTCAGGCAGGGATGCACACTGTCACCGCTACTTTTTAATCTATACATCGAAGACGCCATCAACATCATTAAAGACAGTACAACTGTAGGGATAGATGTGCAAGGGCAAAAGATTAGTATGCTTAGATTTGCAGATGATATAGCAGTATTAGCATCTAGCAAGGAGGACCTAGAGATAGCTTTAAATAAAATGGAAGCGGTACTGACAGATCAGTACTGTATGAAAATAAATAAAAGTAAAACTAAAATACTGGTATGCAAGGGAAGAAAAAGTAGGGAAAGAGCGAATATAAAGATAGGAGACGAAAAATTAGAAGAAGTGGCTGATTTTAGATACCTAGGAAGTCAGATAAGTGAGGATGGAAGGAGTAGTAGGGATATAAAGCAGAGGATAGCGCAGGGTCGTGTCGCCTTTAATAAAAAGAAGTCACTTCTATGCTCGCGAACGGTTAATTTAGAAATTCGAAAAAGGTTGTTAAAGGTGTATGTTTGGAGCACGGCGTTGTACGGGTGCGAAACATGGACAGTGGGAGCGGCGGAAAAGAAAAGGTTAGAAGCGTTCGAAATGTGGTGTTATAGGCGGATGATGAGGATATCGTGGGTAGAAAAGGTTAGAAATGAAGAGGTATTGGAAAGAATAGGAGAACAGAGGACTCTATGGAAGTCAATAAAAAATAGGCGAGATAGGTTGGTAGGACACCTTCTCAGGCATGAAAGTCTAGTCAGAGACATATTAGAGGCAGAAACAGGAGTTAGGAGGGGTAGAGGTAGACCTAGGTTAGATTACTGTTCACAAATAGTTAAGGATGTGGGTTGTTCTAGTTTTAGAGAAATGCGAAGTTTAGCTCAGGATAGGAAAGAGTAGAGGTATGTGTCCAACTAGTCTTAGGACTGACGACCCTATAATGATGATGAAAAATACCAACAGAAACACAAAACATATAAGCATATTTCAACCGATTTATCGGAATAATCGGTTAATGGATATAATTGGTTAACCGGAAAAATCAATTAATCGGAATAATTGATTGTTAAATGTAACAATTGCCTAGCCCTACTAGATAGATAAACAATAGCTTTATTAACAAAATTCTTATTCTTATTTACATTAGGTTCTTCACTTCCTGCCTTTAAGTATATTCTTATCAACTCATCGTTTATTTTTTTGATAGCCATTTATTCGTCAAGCAAGTTTTTTCTGAACGCTGTGACCATAGCTCCTTTGGTCTTCCACTTTCCTTTTCTCTCTTGGTGTTTATTATAAAGCTTTTCAACATCGTTTTCTTTTTCTATCCAGGTCTCTATCACATTCAGTATGTCGTTTTTCTTTAATTCCTCCCTATCCTCTTTGTCTAAACCATTTATGTCCCTTACGTTCCACAATGCCACTTGCATGTTTTTCTTATAGTTATTACTGATCGGTAATTCTATTCTTCTGTCTTTCCTTCCGAACCATTTTTCCTTCCTTTCATTCCAGTATAGCTCCTCTTGTTCTGTTGTTATTTTGTTGTAGCTAATTTTGCAATTAGTTCCTTTTTCTCTCAGTTATTTTGCTTTTTTGAATACTTCTTTTCTGCTCTTTTCTTTCTAGTCATGTTATGTCATTATTGATAATTATTTTGTCTTTTTCTTGCCTTTTTTTTCATAACATTATTTTTTTGCTCTATGCTTTCGACTTGTGCTCCTAGGATGTTTTCTATATTTCTCACGAGTCAAAATCTGCTTACTATTATTTTTACTCCTAGCTTTTGCTTCGTCCATTTCCTTACAGAACAACTTTGGTTTGGCAGGTACCTAATTCATAGTTTGAAATCGCGATCCACGTCTGACAGTTTTCAATAAATCACTGAACAAGAACTTAATGTTCGATAATATCAAGCTATTACCCAAACGGGACGCGACAACAGCCGAGTTAAGTACCTACTTGCTTCTTTAAAAGCAATTACGTATATTTTACTGTTCTGTTTATGTGAAGCTTAAACTGTTGATATGGATTAATTACAATTAATTATTAATAACATTTTCGGATTCCAATCGTGTGGGTTTTATTTTTGCCACAACAATAATATTAGTATCCATGTCTTAGTTATAATCCAAATCTCCCTATGAACATTCTGACATAAATTTATTTTTCTCTCACTATGCAGTTTAATTAACAAGGAATAATGCAATTCCCTTACTTCACCCAATTTTGCCACTGTATATACTCCCTGATTAATTGTTATCCGCATTAATTTTCCTCAATGCAGAAGGACGAAATATTCGAGGCGCAGACTATTTACCGACTATGCTCCATCCAAATCCGTTCAGCCTTTAAGTCATGATTGAGTAACAAACAACCAAATATACATTTAAACATACACATAAGTATGGAAATTATGCATTTATGCATTTTAGCAGAATAGGGTAATCTAATTTATTACACAGTCCATTAGATAGGAGTTATTTTGATTAAATTTAAGAATTTACATCTAAAAGTTTCTTGCAACGTGTTTGAGATACATCTGAAGTACGTGTGAAAACTTTCAATCGTTTTATCAGTTTTTCACATGCCTTAATTTTCAAATACGTGGTCAGCGTTTTTGATTATACTAGCATTTTGTATTCGTTTTTTGTTAAAGGCTGCCGAGAGTGGAAATTTAGAAGCATTTCAAAAGTTGTATTTTTCCGACCAAACGCGTTTGACAATTAAAGATACCAGAGGAAGAACTGCTGCTCATCAAGCTGCAGCGAAAAACAAGGTGGAAATACTCCAGTTCATTTCAGCCCATGACGGAGGTAAGTTAATAATTTATTGCTTTCCATTTCAGTCTACTGCACTCGTGTTTAAAATTAAAATGAATATACGTAGAAAAGCATTCTTCATTATACCCTTAACATTTTAATATTTTGTTAAGCGATCTGCAATTTTTAACATCCATTTTTGCCCGACTATGGCACAAAAAAAGGAGAAAGTTCGGGTATCTGTAACGCAAGTATCTATAGATGTTCATCCGTTCCTCTCCACCCAGGGGGGGCAGGGTAGAGCAGGTGCCCCCCCCTGGAAATCTCGCAGAAAATGTATGAACTCGTCTAATCACTAATCAAAGTGTAAACGGGGCCATATATGCTTACTTTTGAATAAAATAGTAGAAGTCGAATTAAACAATTAAAATTAAAAAAAATGCATAGTCAAATTTACTTTTATTTATTTAAAGATGTTTGGGAGGTACAATCGGAGACAAGAGTACATAAAATTAGAAATTCGTGATTAATTAGGTTTTGCAGCATATCATGAGGTAAATAAATACTATCTATACTAAAAAAAAAGTATACGGTTTGAGAGAAAATTTGGAATTTGACCAAAAACTTTGAATAAAATAAGAAATAACGAATAATATGGAAAATTTTTAACTGACTTTTGGCAGTGAATATGCCTTGATTTCAACTTCGAAACAAAAAAATATTTAGTTTCAATCTTTATTAATAATGAGCGTAAAACTTTTTAATATGTTTAAATAATAATTAAAACTTTAAAATTGCATTTATTTCAGACAATTATAAATATTATCATTATATTATCAAGTAAAAACGAGATTTTCAGATAATTTTTCATTTTTTCCTCGATAACCATTTAGTGAATTTGAATAACCTTACGCTAAAGTGATTCTCCAGAGTTCAAGTTACTTATTATAAAAGTTTGAAATTTCTGGTAGCTTTTTTTCTGTTAATAAAAATAAATTTAATCTGTTCGGTTAACGAATCTCCATAAAATGACGTGTAAAATTACAATTTTTTAAAATTTCAATAACTTTTTAACGGTTAAGTGAATCGATTTGCAATTTTTACAGGAGTTTTAGAATTGAATGAGGAACGTTGTTCCAAATTTTTATTTGTCTCGTAGCATTTTGACATACCTCCCAAACATCCTTAACTGCCTATAAAGTAGGATCATTTGCGGCTGTTTGCCCTACACATATCTAATGTTTCATGTAGGTGCCTTTGTATAGTGTGTATGACAAAACAGCCGCGGATGATCTGACCAAAAAAAATCTGACTTGCCCCCCTAGGGCAGAAACTAGGTACGCCCATGAATATGACGGCTAAGAAACAAAAACCCAACCCTATTAAAGAAAAATATATACAAATGTATGGAGTTTGGTATCAAATTGAAGGCTTAAATACGCCCATTCCGAAAGTATAAAACATAAAAAAACTGCATTCTCATAAACGTTAAAAATGCCCAAGTTTGTATTATTATGATAGGTATCCAGGGGTTCAGATTGTATTAAAATTTCTTTGAATTTAACAAATACTATCATAGTAGGTATTCAGATAATCTGTTTGTATAGGCCTCTCAGGATTACAATAGGTGTTTGTGTCAGAGTTAATTTGGTTGTTCTAGCACCAAACTTTCCTGTAGTTAAAATGAAATTACATGTTGCTTTCTTTTACTTAAGCAGAGCGGGATATACGACATACATAATTCCCAAATTTTCATTTTATGCTGTTTCTATTGTCTTGCTTTCTCTTTACTTATTTATGTCTTTAGTGCAATAGATACCTAGAAATTTGTACTCGCTTATGTATAGATACATATGTACAATACATACTGTTGTTCCACCACTCACCCTTTTCACCCTCCTTATCCCCACACAACCACTTACCCTAAGTTACCATATTTGTTTGTGAATATAGAAGAGCAAGTCTTGATCCAGCCCTCAACCACTAAATTGTTACATAGACATCTGTATTTTTATTTGCACTTTGTTTTCTTCATCATAATTTCTTATTTGTACTTAGTGTGGAATTCGAACTTGATTCGAAAATTAGATTCTTCCGAACTTTTGAGAATTAAAACACTAGGTATTACGTAAATATAAATTAAAAAAACGAAAATCCCACTACGACTTTAACTATTCTTTCAAAGGTTATCATTATCAAGATAAGGTCGTCAATCCTGATAAGACTGGTTGGACACGCACCTGCACCCGTTCCTATCCTGAGCTAATCTTCGCATTTCCCTAGAAAGGTTGTAAACATGACTTATTGACTTATCGTTAGTAACTACTATCAACTACAAGTAGAGGTCTAAGGCGGCCCATACACCTACAATAATTTTGTACAATGTTTTTATTGTGCAATAATATTGAATACCCCCGTTGAATCCAAACGTTCAATAATATTTAGCAATAAGATTGACAAGTCATTAGCGTCAATATTTTTATGCGAGAAGCATGTCCAGTGGTGTTGTGCTAATTTTTTTTTACCGGAACGCGTATATATAATTATATAGACAGGGCCGATCCTGGGTAGGCGGCCGCTCTGTTCGGTCTCATGTCCCAAATTTGACGACGGCGTGGGGGGGGGGATTTCCCCCAATTTTCGCCCGTCGCCAGGATCGGCCCTGTTCACGGTTCGGAAAAACAAGCCGGTTCGTTCCGGTTTTTGTTCCGGTTCGGGTTCGGTTCAAACCCTTGTTTATAATAATACATATAAAAATTCGTCAAAAATTAGAAAAAAAAATCAGCAATTCTTTTTAATTTTTTTTCAATACGTCAGCCAATTCTCGTTATCAGAAATCAACTTTAGTTCCGGAACGCGTTCCTGTCCAAAAAGGAAGTACCGGAACGACGTTCCGGAGCGTTCCGGCTCGACAAAACCACTGAACATGTCTGACGACGAAGTTTTGGCTGCAACCGTGCTAGTGATTTTGTTGAAAACAGGAAAAAAGGAAAACGAATATGGGCCAAGGAATGGTTTAAAAAAAGACCAGTCTACACTCACGAAAGACTTTTCAGGGACTTAACATTAACTCAAGAAAACGATTTCAAAAACTATATGAGAATGGATATTGCAAAGTTCGAAGAATTGCTACAATTAGTAAATTATTCACCATTTTGATGGTCGACTCCATACTACACGTGACTGAACTGATCGCAACCGCTCCAAATAATGAATTGAAAAATATTGCGCCATACTAACCCTACACAGTGCAAGAAAACCATAGTGCACAATAAAAATTAAGCTAGCTCAAACTTCTATTCAATTATTGCAAATTTTTCACTATTATCCCTACACCGCCAATAATATTGTGCAATCATCTGTGTTGTACAATATTATTGTAGGTGTATGGGCCGGCTAAGTTAAAGGCGTAGTGGGGCTTTAGTTTATTTTATTTATTTTTGTAGCCATTTGAAATTCGGAAGTTTTCATTCTTTGTAAAGATTCTAATTTGCATATGTTGACCAGCCATAAATTATTTTGCTGTAGCAAACAAATCCACACGGTGTCGCTACATAATTTATTTAAAGCGACTCTGGTGTTATAAAAGCACGAATATAAATTTTACAATTTGTAAGCGTAATTCTCACAGAATCGTTAATCATAGCGGGTAACAAGTAAACCACTAAATACATACATTACATTATACAGAACAGTCCATTAAGCGCGGTTTGCTCCTAGAGGTCTTATCGTTGAAACTGGAAGAAAATTTTTCAAATAAAAGATTTTCCTGGTCAAACGATCCATGTGCAGAGAATAATTTTAGAGATGGCGGACTTTCAGATATATCGGAAATATATATCAACTTCCTTGATGCTTATTTAAGGGTCTTCAACATCTGTTGCAAACCATCAAATTAATTTGCTTCATTTACCACAGGCTTTATTCTATTATACATTTTGTGGTTAACTGTCCCGGTCCCTGTCAAATCTATCCATCAGCTTTTTAAATGTTCTCGGGTTTAGGAGCGAGCAAGCAATTTTTTAAACGTTCTACAAGGATATACACTATATCGATAAATTCTAGGGTCCTTACTGTAACATAAACTCTTATGAAATCTGACAAGATTACACAAATAATTTGACAAAAAATGCTTATGTTTAGTAACTCTTGGACCTATCAATTTTCTCTGCACATTACGGAATAATTAACAACTCGTACTGTCCTGAAAACCGTCAAGACCCTAATATGCATTAGTAAATGTTAAAAAGGCTAGGGTCGTAGTTCAAGAAACTCGGGCACACAATTTAGCAAGATGAACTCAACACAAAAGAACATTTGACTGGAATTAGTAATACAAAGTAAAACAAAAACGTTACTAGTAACAACAACAATGGAGATAAATTACTAGAGAGCGGTTCGATTTAAAAATATAAATAAAATACTGATTTAACACCTCCTCTCAAAGCGATACTAATTTAAGTAATTGGCTTCTCAATGCCCATGTAATTTAAACAATTCCAATGCTTGACACTAGACAGTCCCTTGGTGAGAACGTCAGCTGGCATCTTGTCAGTGGGCAGGTACACCACGTTGATCTCGCCTGTAACTATGGCTTCTCTCACGAAGTGGTGTCGCACGTGTCCTTGGTTCTTGAATGTATGTACAGGATTCTCTGCCAGTTGCTTCGCTCCTTGATTATCAATGTGAATGTCAATTGCTGGCGGTGGACAAGCGCCAATCTATTCGCTGAGTCTTTTTAGGTGCATCGCTTCCTTGGAAGCCTCACTGAGTGCTATATACTTAGACTCCGTTGAAGACAAGGCCACCGTACGCTGCTTCCTCGACTTCCATGAGACGGGACCTCCACTCATCGTGAACGCGTATCCAGTGTAGGACCATTTGTCGTCAACACATACAGCCCAATCAGCATCCATGAAGCCGGTCAGGTTCTCACCTTTGAACTGAAAGTGATACCTACGTCGGTTGTACCCTTGAGCTACCGTAATACTTGTTTCGCAACTTGCTACTGACTCTTTCCAAAACAGTCGTTGAACTGGCTCAGGACACTTGTA